CAATAGACTCCAACAAGTCGACCTCCACGCGGTTCTCCGTAGAAACTAAAATGGTTAATTCTTGTTGATTGGTTGCTATGGGCTAATTGACCTGTCTTTATTCTTATTTGTCACCCTTCACTGGTACCCCCCTAGCGTATACCGATAGCGCAGGCGGGGTTACTATTCTATCTTCACTAATTAAAAAAAAAATGATGGGCCAAATAGTATACTCCGTTATGTCCATGGTACTTTTTTTTTATGAGTGACAATGGATGGTAACCCTACCGCGATATCGGTATATACCGGCGGGGCACCAATGAAGGGTGATAAGTGAGGATGAAGCAGGTCAGTTAGCCCATCGTGCCGAATTTAACAAGAATTATTTACGATGGTTTCCAGGGGGAACCACGTGGAGGTCGACCTAATAGGGCATATTGCTAGCAAGGAGGCTATCAAACTCCATTGCTAATAATCCCTTTCCCCCTGTCCATGGTACTGCTCATGTCTATAACCGACAGTTACCATTTTCCATCAAGTGGGCCGTCAGCCGCCACTCTAAGTTACATAAAAAAATTGGCTATAATAAATTTGATAGTTGATCAAATAGATCATGTACTATCTGAGGGCAGAGTCAAGAGTCTCTGGTAACGGCATGACATTCGAGAAAGTAGATGTAAAAACAGGTGTAGAAGCCATAGGTACCTACTTGTTATTTTCTACCCACAATAAGGGCTCTGGCATAAAGATAGATAGATATTATAATAATCTGAAATTCAGCGGCAGTATTTACCAACAACTTTCTCCAAACTTTTCCCAACCTATGTCGGGTTGAAATATAAAAGCAATTTTTTGAACCTTTCATACAAAATGTAACACATGACGCATGATTGTGTGAAGGATGAAAATTTTTTTATTCCGCCTTCGTACGACCTTTCGTGGGTAAAATTGATCACTTTTATGAATTCTAAATACATTCTAAATATAAAAAAGTAAGATTTCGTAGGACAATTAAAATAGAGATATTTAGAAATTTTATTTAAAGTAAAACTACTACGGGTAAGAAAGCGTGTATGGATGCATACATGTGCAGAATCAAGATTAATATTATTAGATTTTATTAACAATATTTTCATTTTCCTTATAATTTAATTATAGGAGCCAATTATTCACAAGTCATAGTCTGAGCTGGAGCATAGTTCTTTATTTGCTAAAGTTTAAGTATAAAGTTGCACATGTATGAATGACAAGAAGTAGAGATAAATTTGAATTTGGGTAGATATCGGGCATTTTATGATATGTAAGTATCTATGTAGGTATAAACAATGTAAATTAACAGAAAGTACAAAATACAAGTAATAATATATATGATGTAATCGTGGGCGCTGTATAATTTTTGAGCTCTTAAATTATCAGCTATCGACGAAACAGTCGTAAATCGGGAAAAGGTGTTGTTAGGGTTGTCAAGCGATAGATGAAATAAAAATAATACTTTGTACAGATATTAGATTTTGTGATTTTATTATACTTAATTACGAGAAACTTCAACTAGATTACCAGCGACAGATAAAGAACGCACTAAGAGAAGCTTAATAGTAATCGCTTAATATGAATTCGTTAAATAACGTACATACCACCAAAAATGTTGCATAACATTTCTATAGATTTTTGTTTTATAATTTCTGTAGGTTTATAGTTATACATCAAATTTGATAGTTTCAATGGTCAGATTCTAATGTATATGTACTGATTTTTTTAGTCAACCCTTTCCTTAAATTTAATTGCAAAAATTAAAAATAGGTAAACTCTATGTTTACCTATTCTTAATTTCTGTAAGAAACAACCCTGTGCACAGAAGGTATTGGTAAAAAAATAGGTTCTGGTATATTGAGCAATAGTAATTTATAGTGGGCAGTAAAGGGAAGGTTTATATGCTCTCCATCACGAGGACCTTGGCTGAAAACTTAACTGGACATAAATCCAGACGGACACGGCAATGTTGGTTAGCATCAAGGTCAATGAGCAAAGTCAACAGGTATGCTATGAAGGTAATAGTTTAATGTATAGAAGAAAAATATTAGCTTTCCTACTAGATTTAGAACTAGCGAGTGTTTATTCCGAAGACGGGTAATACTAAACTGTCAATATTCAAAGCAAATTTTTTTCAATATTTCTGAATACATAATTATATATTTATTTCTTTATTGCACCAAAAATATAAAAATATACAATGACAATCATCCATCCATCAGGTGGGTCGTATACTTGTTTGCCACTTCGGTGGTATAAAAAAAAAGTATATATATATATATATATATATATATATATATATATATATATATATATATATAATTATATATAATTATTATATATATATATATATATAATTATAAATGTGGCTATCTATTAATAAAAAATGTTAATGACAGAACAAGTTGCACATATACATCACTAAATACAATTAATATCTTTCCTTTATGTTTCTAAATACTTGCCAATAAAACTAACTTCATTGAATCAAATTATGGTTTAAAAAATAATACTAGTGTTGTAGTCACGATATTTATTTAAAACAAGCCAAAATATTTGTATTTTATTATTGATAATAAAATAATATATTACGTAACATATATTAGATATTATTATTGTACTTGTAAATTTCAGATATATATGTATAAAATGCATTTTACTTCTGAGAAGTTAACGCTGCGAAACGGATATTAATAAGTATAGCCTTATTTAGAAGCCAGCATGCTCCAGAATGTTCCGTCGTTAATATAATTATGAAATGGTACAGCCTAACTAAAGTCGACATAATACTGGAAACGGTGAGTGTACACACAACGAATGGTAGGTAGTTGAAAAAGAGAATTTCAGATGAGATATTACCAGAGGGAGACTTTGTACAAAAGTCGTTTGCATTTACCTCTCCCAATCGTGTTTCTGCCGTGAAGCAGCTATACATGCATGGCTCTGTCTCAATTTTAAGGGTGGAATATGGCAAAGTGAAATTACATACAACAACATGAAATTATATAATCTTCAGAAATGGCAATGTATAAAGGGTGGTACCATGGGCGTCACAGGATATTTTGTGATGTTCAAAGTACCGTTCATGTCCATAAGCAACTGTTGTCTTTTTTCATCAGATGGATATCAGATGGTTAAAAAGAAAGAGAAAAAATTATGTTTTCTTTTTTGACTCTTAATATGAAAACATACATAAAACGCTTACTGAGCAGAAAGCTCCATTTTGTTTTTGATAATGAAAATTATACAAAACACATAAGGCAAATCTTTTAAATTTTGTCTTTCCGGAGGGATAAAATATATTTTGGTAAAATATAATTTGTAAATTAAAAAGTAGGACTCACTCGATTGGATTGTACTTTTTTACATGTTTACGTGATATTTTTGCCAATTATAAATAAAATGTGATGGTTTTTTTACGGAACTTGTTATGTTATATACGTTTTTATAATACTAGAGATTCGGCCCGGCTTCGTACGGATAGATAGACTTTTCGAATATAATGTATAGCCTATATATGTTACTCACTGATAATGTTTCGCTTTCTATAAGTGAAAGAATATTAAATATCAGCTGAGTAGTTTTTGAGTTTATGCATTATAAACAACCAATTAAATCATTTCTTTTTATAATTCTAGTACAGATATAATATGGGATATATATATATATATATATATATATATATATATATATATATATATATATATATATATATATATATATATATATATATATATATCATATTTTTATTAATATTGAAGTTTTCTTTTTGTGAAACTATAAATAAGTATTTAGATTTTAAAGTATTTATGTTAAAGAATGACATAGTCTATTTTTTATTGAAATCAATCAATATATTCCGAAAAACAACTATGTAGTATAATAAAATAGGCTACGGTAACCTTGTTTAGCATCTAACGGGTCGTATGCTTGTTTGCTACCATAGTAGTATAAAAGATGCTCTAGATTCTCCTATTCTAGTATTTTAATGTAGGTACAAGTATTCCTGAAATATTAAGGTATGTTAATTGTGTACAAGTCTGCCGGTAAAAGGGTACTACGATTCGTCAGCGAAGGGCTACAATAAATCTAAATTATAAAAGGGCTGAGATGTCGGCCTGACAAATTGGCAGCGATTTTCCTAGTACTACCACGTTTGGTGGCCGGTTAAGTAATCCGTTAATGTAAGTAAAGTATCTCTACATACGTAACGATATCATAGTTTAACGGGATGATAATATGGTTTTATATTTGATATTATGACAGTAATGATGGCAAAATGAAGAAGGAAAAGGAAGGAAGTTGGCCCTGGCTGTAGCTGGAAGTATAAAATAACTGAAAAATAATGAAATAAATAAATGTCTGACAGAAACATCAATTGCTTGATTCTTAATATAGGATACCCTTTGTTAGGGAAACTGGATATAGTTACCTAGTTATAGATAATACAAACTAGTCATAGATATCCTTTGTTAGGGAAACTAGGTATAAATGGGGGTGCGAATTGATTAAGAAAAGTTTGTTACCTTGGTTCGACCAAGATTAAAATCCAGAACCTACTGCTGTATTACCGATTTTAATAAACAAGTAAAAGATTTTATAGAAACACATCTAGATATAAAACTCTCTCTCAAGTTGAGGCAAACAATACACATTCAATAAATTTCATTAATGACATTTATTTGGTCGAATGGGTTTAGAGATTAGCGTGAACAAACATTGTGATATGGAATTTTTTTATACTAAGAGTTTGAAATTATAAAATTCAGCAGATCTTACCCATGGTTTTATCTCTGTGACGCGATGTATAGAACGTATCCCGGTTAACCAACATGGTCAACCAGTTGGCTCGTTTTTATTATAGGTTTTTCAATATTGATTGATACGTGTATTGCCGTTAAAAGAAATTCACAGCAGATATAATAATAGTTACTTTTTTTTAATTGTATAAAAATAAATACATTGCAAAAAAGATAACGTTTATTGGATAATGCTCATTTCAATAACTCATGTACGTGCGGGCTAGTATAAGTCGACTGCGCGATACTCGACACTCGGTGAGTGGGTGGACTCGGTCGCTTGTCATGAAAGCTGGGTCTGTGCTTAACTCTGTCAACGCCTGTAGTGCCATCTTGTGGTTGAATGGTACTTCTTGAGTATCGGTTACTCGGGACATCCAACGGGCCTCTACACATCTATAAAAAACAGTTTGAATTAAATAGAAATTTTGTTTGATATCATAGATAAATAAAGTTAAACAAAACTATAATACTTTTACGCCGCCTTAAACCGTTTTCATATGAAATGTAGTTATTTATGGCTGTAGTTCTTGGACAGATGACATGACTATAAGACTAAGAGATATAGAATTCCTATTGTTTTTATTGAGATGATGTCAAACATTATTTTCTATTCTAACTTATTTACACATCCTAATGTAATGTTTATTTAGTACAATGTGAATGTGAAAGCGAACCCACGTCCGCGTAGGGATTTTTTGAAAATAGGATGGGTAATCATGGCGGTATAATACGCCTGCGCTATCGGTATAAGCTGGCGGGGCCTTAGGAGGCCTTAGGGAGAGATGATAGGAGAGTAAGAAAAGCAGGTTAGTTGGCCCATAGGGACGAATTAAAAAAATAATCACGATGGTTTCCAGAGCGAACCGTATGGAGGTCAACCTGACAGGGTATATTGTTAGCAAAGGGGTTATTAGACTACATTATTAATAATGTATTTTATTCCCTGTCCGCGTAGGGTTGCTAGTAGAAGTCTAGCAGTATCATTCATCTCTCTCGGGACCAGTAGGTCTCCATGTCGAATAGTCAATAAAATTAGTTTTTTTACAGTTTTCCTTGGTATATTTTTGAGTGATATACTTAATTCAAAATTGTACAGAACTGACATAATGAATGGGATAATTTGTTATAGTAAATAAAGCAAGAGATGTGTGTAATGCTATTTCGTGTTCTATCTCCCTATTAAGGAACTTGACGTCAGCATAAATACTTACGAAGGACATGGATCCCCAGGGATTATCAAGTTGATAGGCAAAGGAGTGTAAGACGGCCGTTGTTCTGCGTGCACAGTATATTTCTTCAAACGAGATGTATTGCTCTTATCACTTTTCTTTTGTATAAAACGTTCCTTAATAATTAAAAAGAAAATCTTTTAATTTATTCCTTTTGTGTTATTTACTAAACCTATACATTTTGAGTTTTGAGTGATTTTTGGGTTTTTAGCGTTTTTATGCATTCGCCAATTTTATATCAATTTTGATGATTATTTTGCAATAGATTTGGTCTACTCTCGTGTTGAATCTATATTTATTTTGCGAAATAAATTCTTAAATCATTATTCCATAAAAGCCATAATCATAAAATAACTAGTTCGTATGATTAGTGTTCATTCTATAAGCGGATTTTTAAGAAAGAATTCACGCGGCGCGTCACTCAATAAGCGCTGTTTTGCTGCGATATATTTATTTTAATATACCTACTATGTGTAGATAGATATTTTTTACGTTTTTTCGAATTGTTAATAATACTTGCAAATTGACCAGCTAACTTTTTTTAATTATGTATATTTCATATTCTTTGTTTTATACATTTATTTTTAGATCTTGTTTGACATCTGTTCGTGTGCGCTTTTTCCTTTGAATAAATATAGGTACACTCATTCAAGAAAATAATTTTCTTTCAAAGCAACTGTATAGCCGCCACAGAAAATATTAAAAAAGAAATATTTAAAGGAAAATCAAAATGTTTTAAACTTACATAATAATAAACGGTTTCTATGTGCTCCTTAATTTTGTCTGTTATGAGTCTCAAAGTCAAGTTCAGTCGGCGCAGTGAGGGTTGCTTGTTACCAAGAAGGTTTTGGAACGGTTCCAACGAACAATCTAACATTCTGAAACAATATAATTATTATAACAAAAATATAACGATAGAGCACAAGAAAATGGCTCTTGAATTTGTTTTAACGTAAATATATTTTAGTCCCTTGAGAGTGCAGAGTTTTGAGCATTTTTTATTGCAATTGTGTGTATCTGTAAACTTACAATTCTAAGTGTCTTTTTACATGTTCTGTTGGGTGTCCGGTGGCGAAACGTATGGTTATCTATGACAGCCTTCACATGTCCGATGTCAACATCTCGCCAGGCGTAACCTGTGAAAATACACTTTGCTGCCGGGTGTTGGGTGTTAGTATACAATACATATTTTGTATTATAAATTAGAATCTTCACTATTGTAACTTTAATAAAATAGCATTTTGTTAAAAATGAACTCTACAGTTTGCTATTTAACTTTAAATTCTGATTGTGTTGTAATTTAAATTATAAATATAATGGGTTTACTCAACGTTTTAAATGGGAGTGCTCAACTAAAGCTCAACAGAAGCCCTTATTATTAAACAATGTAGGTTATTCTTTTTCTTTTAAATCATTACAATATCTGGCTAAGTATATGATTTTTTTAAATTTAAACGATATGGTTTTACTATTTATAAAAATATGGCCTGAGATTCTCTTTTATTTTGAGATACATGTCTTTTTCTCTTTGGGATATGCGAATATAATTGGACAATTGTTTAATTTAGTGGATAATACTAATAAATATCGTGTTCATGTCAACCTCACCGTAAGGGTGTTGATGTGAAAATTTATTTGAGTGCGTCGATGTTTCGATTCCAATTTATTTATTTATAACATCCACTGGGTGAGCCTTACAGTCTTCCAATATGCTCACCCAGGAAAGCATGAGTACAATAACATATAAAAAAGACATATTACACATAAATAACAAGAATAATATAAAAAGATTTAACTCAAACAAAAAACATCTGAACACAAATACTCTGTGGTCACTCGACAAAACTCCAGCAAGTTGGAGGTCCTTTACATTATGAGAGTGTGAAGTAAGTCACTAAAATCACGTAAAAAATTGCTAAAACGTAACTGAGGGAAACAGATCATTGTGAGATCAAATTAATTATGGTTACGTAATTAGATTTTTTCAATTTTAAAAATCCTAATCAAGACAATCTTTTTATAATGGAATCTGCAAAAACTGCCAAGAGGTCATCTGTCACCGCAAAAGATGCAGTCGGTTTCTGGTATTTTTAATTAAGTCTCTTTTTTTAATCATCTATTTAGTCAATGTTCGTTGAGGCACCCTCTACCGACTTTCTCATCTATGTCATTATAGATTGTTATTACAATTACATAGATGCCAATTAAAAGTTATGACAATATGTCTACACAAGAGCGAGAAATTGTGTCAGTGGAATTATTATGTTAATTAAAATAAATTTATTAATTAAATTAACAGCGAGTTATGTATGGAAGTTGTCTATTGATTTTGTAATTATGACTTCTATTGAGTTTTAGGAACGCATACTTACTGTTATTGTTATTTATAATATTGACTCAATATTTTTTCCGAGAAATAATAAACGTTTCAGTTCATTATTAGGATACATTTTGTTTTTCTTTTTATTTGAGTAGCGAATAGTCTTGTCAGTGACTATCAGGGTTGCCATTCTTGTACAAGTGTGTTATGGCATAGAAATTACCTTAGATGATTATTTGATTAATACATGAGTTATAAATAAATAAAAAAGTAAACATCTCTAGTTAGGTAATTAGAGAATTTTGTTGATTGTTATCACTGTGACAAACTACATACAATTATTTTGCGGAGAGTCATTGAATGCAGCAAGTGAAAAGCCCTTTACTTTAATAAATATAATACTATAATATTTCTAACTACTCTCTTAATTCTTTTAATATTATTTCGAAAGAATACCAAATCGTGGGACGGTAGTGCTTAAACCACTCAGTAGTATAATAGAGGTGACAAGAAAAATTATAAACATTAATCTTTATAAAAATATTTTGTATTTCAGACCTGTACGATTCAGAACACAAGAAGGAGATTTTGTAATATATAATATGTTACATTTGTTAGTTAACATAACCAGGTTGTGGTGTTTATTAATTTATTTCATATCATCATCATAACAGCCTTTAACGGCTTACTGCTGAACAAAAGTCTCGCTTTTGGGGGTTTTGTCAATAGTTGCTACGCTTGGCAGGTGGATTGGTAACCGCAATTAGACTTTAGAGGAGTTTTAATCAAGACACTCCTGCCAACTCTCGCCCTTCCTTAGTCGTCTTTTACGACTCCTATTGGAAAGGAAGGAGTAAATTATTCTATGCCGGAACCACACGACCTATTTTCATTAATTAATATGATTAAAACCACTAATGTAATGTAATAAGTAGAGTTTTTCCAATAGATATCATGCTTGGCAGGCGGGTTGGCAACCGCAGTTAGGGTTTGGTAATGTTTTAAGAGGGACGCTGCTGCCCATTCTTTGATCATTAAATTTTCTTAGTCGCTTCTTACGACATCCACGGGATGGGAAATGATGGCCCATTCTATGCCGGCATCACACGACAAAAGTTAGTAAATAATATTATATAAAAAATATAAAAATATACGTAACAATAATTTTATGACTTAATAATAATATCGTGGAAATTCAGTGTACTCATATGGGTTTTTGCCCAAAGCACTTAGCAAGTAATTACTACGTGCCCAAAGAGCAAACGTTACGAATTTTCAGTCGCCGCCCGAAAAAAGACATAAAAGTGCAAAAAGGTTGTTCTAATCTACATCCCTGTATTGTAGGGGCAAGCAATCCATTTGGTTCACCTTTCGTTAGCAAACTAGTTTTAAAATTGATCACGTACCGGTACGTGCTAGTAGTAGCAACTCGCCACTCACGGGTGAATGGATTCGATTTTGTAAAGATTTATTTTACCGATTGTATTAGCGATTAGAGAAATGGATTAATTTGTAATTGGATTTTAGCTATTTAATTTAGAATAGTGCGGTATAGTGTTACATACATTGAATTTTTTTTATTTATTAAACCGATTTCAAAAAGTGAACGTGAGTAACTCTATCCAGATGTATTTATTTTTATTTTTGTACTTGAAAAACTTTTGTTTCCTTGTATTTCGACTAACCTGGCAACATATTTTTTTTTATGGAATGAAATGGAATAATAACCCCGTCTGCGTTATCGGTACACGCTAGTGGAGTGCCAATGACGGACGATAGGTCAGGTCAGAAGATCATCCTGATGACTCCTCTTTCTCGGCAACATATTATAATCTATGCCCTTCTTCATTCCAAATATAAAGTGTATGCTAAATTTTATCAAGACTGCTTGAGTTGTTAAGGTGTCAACAAACTCAATTTCACATTAATAATGTTATGTAAGTAATGAGATCCTATAACGATACATTGTCCTGAAAAGTTCACTTACATACTATGTATTTGAATCATCATTCAGTAATACGCAGTCGTAAACTGACGAATCTTGGAGTCATTAAAAATTTACAACCGCATAGGGCAACATTGTAGGATGCTTTAAAAAACCATGTGACAATGTTGGGGTGAGTAGCAAATGGCGGATGATGTTAATCGTGAAATAAACATAGGATATCAATATTATAAACAGGAAACAGGAGGTTTATAATATTATAAACAGGAAAGATTTTTTGTTTGCAATGGATAATCTCAAAATGTCAGGGGTGTTCTTCTCTAGAAATACGTCCGATTCTAAAATAAGAGCATACGGGTATGCTACAGTACTGCTGCAGTGTCCCAGTCCTTACTGTAACTGCAGTGTCCTCTCCTCTCCTTGCTCACATAAGTCCCTTATTGCTGTTATTTACCAATTTTCCTTACACATTTCCAACGTTCTTTTTTTTTCTCAATTCTTTCCTCCATTCCGTAGGCAGAAACCACCAGCAAATACATTCCCAAAGAGGGTTGACGTTAGGCAGGCGGCCGATTGTAAAACTATAAGCCAAATCTTTTTGTAGGATAAAAAATATATTACGCCGACCTCAAATAATAATTGGGATAAGAGTAGGAAGATGATGAATGGATATTCTCAAAAATCACTTAACCAATTTAAAAAAATATTTCATGTACTATATAAAGAACTACATTATTAGTCAGTAATAAGGGTTATATTTTATAAAAAAAAAAATGTAAAGTCGAGGCGCGTTGCTAGTAAACTATAAAATAGGCGAATCGTGTCTACAAACAGAATTTACATCACAACAAGTAGGACTTTGTGCCGTTAAAAAAATTTGCATCAACCGTTAACTGTCCACTGCTGAACATAGCCTTCCCCATAAGGGGGTTTTGCCAGCATATGGAATTCGCCAGGTAGTTTTACTAATATTATAAATTTGAAGGATTGTACAAATGTTTAAATGTTTGTTATTCAATCACGTTTCAATAGCTGAATGGATTTGAAAGAAATTTGGTACTTATATGGACCATAACTAAATTGGATTAATACATAGTATAATTTTTATCATAAGGTAAAATCGTAGAAATCGGCCAGCCAATAATGAAACAAAAAAGAAACAGACGATTTGAGAAAATCTTGCTTTCAGAAGTCACTTAATTAGAAGCAAATTCCATTAGCTGCATGTAAATGTATAATTTTCAGAGCTGGTTAAAATGTGTGTTTATGAATTTAATAACCATGATACCACGCTGTAATCATCGGATCATTACCATCAAAACTGAATTACACGCGTCAGTTACAGCCGTCGACTTCCGTTATATGCATACACAGATATGTATGTGGATGTTTCATTGACACAGATGAATAATAGGTACACAGATCTAGACATAGTTTGTATGCACCGAGATATATATACTATTTATGTATCTGTAGACAAGAATTCTATTAAGAAATACTGATTGAAGTTTATATTAACAGACTTTAATTAATATTTAATTTAACAGTTAAGATTAAAATTACTTAAGATAAAAGTGCTAAGTGCTTGACGATAATCCACGAAATTTTAAATTTAACTATTATTATAAACGCGAATGTATGCATGAAAGGCAAGTTTGTTATTCTTTCATATAAACACTATTAGATTGATTTGAATGAAAGGTACACGATTAGATTTTATTATAACCGCATAGGATACTTTAATACGCAAACAAAGCCACGGGATACAGTTGGTAATAATATAAATGTAAAAGTAAACTTATTACTTATGATATTATTTTTTATGCAATTTGGTATACATTTACTATTTGGGAAAGAGAAAGAGATAAGCTACTATTAAATTCACGACAATCGATATATTCCATATTATAAACACATCAAAGAAGTCTAAGCAATACATACTATTTCAAATTATTAATCAACTATTATATCATTTCTTACCAAGTAGGTAATATCTATGTAAACTTTTTTGATCTACAGGACATACTGGCTGGTTGTAAAAAAATCGAGTCACATTTTGTTTTTTTCACAAATTTAAAAGCGAATGCATTTGTTCGATTTTATAGAGTTTTCTTTGCTTATTAAAATTTAGTATTCTGTATCAATTTAATGATTTAAACAATAATTTGAAAAAAGTTTTGAACAAATTTGAGACGTCACGGAGCGACGTCATTTGAACGTAAATGAAATGCAAAGAGCTGTAGGGATGTTGCAAGCGGTAAGAAGTTAATCTCAGGCATCTCGGTATTTTGGTGTCAACAGAAGCGTTATTTGCCGTCTTCATCAGCGTTACGTTAACACGGGATATCCTGCTGAGCAGCATCCAGATCGAGGAATGTGTACAACCACATGGCAAGATCGATACATACAACTGACTGCAAGAAGCTCAACAGGTATTGTATAGGCGGGTTTTATGAACTCAGACGAACTGAGTTCGTTTTTGTAAATGGTAACATAAACGCTGTAAATTACGTTGAGGATGGTCTAAGGCCTTATGTCCGTCCATTCACACAAACGCTTGGCTCCGATTTCAGGTTGATGCATGAGAATGCGCGTTCGCATACAGCTTTGCACACACGGGAGTACTTGGCAAGGGAAAACATCCTGGTATTGCCTTGGCCTGCACAATCGCCAGACCTCAACCCCATGGAGCATGCATAGGACATGCTCCAGAGACGTTTTTTAAAGGACTTGGATGGAGTGACAACAACCCAACAACTGATGGACTTATTAAAATTTCATTGGGAGCAATTGCCGCAGAATAACATTATCAGTCTCATCGATTTTATGAATAATCAGTGCCAGCAAGTTCTCCATAACAGAGGAGGTCACACTTTGTATTAATTTATGCAATTTTTATACAACCATTTAATTTAAGTTTAGTTGATTAGGCACCTTACTTTGTACTACGTACAAACAGTATTTACTCGTAATTATTGTTAATTAAGATTATTCAAAAAACAAATAAAAAAAAAAGTTGTTTAATATAAAAAAAGCATTAAAAAATAATATAAATAAGAAAATACTAAGGATTTAATGCGAAAATACATTGTAAAATTTAAATTTGTATGTGTTGCTTAGATTTAGATTTAGATTTCTTTGATGTGTGTATTACACCCATAGATACGTGCACGAAGTCGCAGGTAAGAGTTAGAATGTATTATCATTATATAATACCAGCCCTTAATTGTCCACTGCTGAAACTAAGCCTCCCCCTGGGGTGGGGGGGAGGGGGAAGTAATATTGTAGAGGTCCTTGACATATAGTAACATTACTAAAGTTCAATTATGTAAAAAAAATTAAACGAGCATTTATTCATTTTTTCAATAGACTATTGAAGTAAAACAAATATGACTGAGTTACTATTATATTTAAGGTGATGAGGTATTTTGTTAAATTTTTATATACAAATAAAGTGACACATTACAGAATAGATAAATACATAGTGACATCTACAGTGGATATAATATTTTAAATGCTAAATTTTTAGCATTAATTGGGTCTGTTTGAGATTGAAAAGAATGATGGCTCATTATGTTTGTAGTGTGTGTAAGTACTTCTTTTCAATTGTAAAATCGTTCAACAATTCAGTAATAAATAAAAGATGCTTTTATTTTTACAACTGATTAAAAAAAAAGTGGTTCTCAATTCGATTGTATTATTTTTATGTTTGTTACCTAATAATCCTGTCCTCTGTCCTAACATACACCGATTTGAAACATTTTTTTTTCAATTTAGTAGTTTAATTTTTAAATTAAAATAATAGTTGATTGTTAATAATAGTTGTTCATTAAAATAAAGTAAGTACATGATTTTTCATCCAAATTAATATTATAAAGAGCTGTGAAATAGCGGACCATATCAATAATATGTTAGTGGATCTTGACCAAGCAGTAGGAGTTAAATTTTGGAAGTTCCAACGCTTAAAAAGAACACAAATAACTCTCTGATTGCACTCTAGATTCTTTGAAGAAACGGCGTAAATTATGTTCCCAGTCTTCAACGTCTGCGTCAGAATATAGGTAGCTTAATAGGCAAATCTCTAAATGAACTGACGTGACATACGCCAGTTCAATACTATATGTATTGAACAGTCAATTGAGCGGAATCAAGGCTCCAAAGTGTTTGCCAGAGATTTGGCTATTAGGTGAAGTCAACAGACAAAGTTTAATATCGAAACCGAAGATATAGTTTTTGCCACGTCTGAGATTTTGAGTGAGATTGAGAAGTTCTATGGACAGCTGTACACAACGTCGTCAACATTGCATACTAATGCAAATAACGACCAAAGAGCTAAAGTCACTCGATACTATACCGATGACATCCCGGATGTCATTTTGCAGGAATTGAAATGGCTTTTAAACAGCTTAAAAACGTCAAGGCACCGTAGGAAGACGGAATTACAGCAGAGCGGGTGGAAAACCGGTACTTGTAGTCCTTCAGAAGTTATTGAATTTCGTCATTCATAACAGTGTTACATCCGAGGCGTGGAGCAGAAATGCGGTAGACACGCGGTGTTCTTCAAGAAGGGTGACAATACCTTAATTAAGAACTATGGACCGATATCTCTTCTGAATCGCGTCTAAGTACTGTTTTCGAATGCCCTGACCAATCGTCTTACGTACAAACTCAATGACTTCTAGCCACCCAAACAAGCTGGCTTACGGAAGGGCTTTAGCACCACAGACCATATACATACAGTACGGCACATTATACAGAAGACCGAAGAGTATTATCTGCCGCTAAGTCTGGTATTTGTGAACTGTGAGACAGCCATTTTTATTTTGTCGAGACATGGGCGGTACTACAGTCTCTTCAGCGGTGCCAGTATATCGAAGTGTTGAAGTACGTGTAAGTTATGTACAGTAAGGTTACGATATCTATCTGAATATCGAACCAGAGTACAAAACCCATTCTAGTGCTGAAAGGTGTAAGATGGGTTAAATCATATCCCCAAAACTCTTCATAGCTGCACTGGAAGATGTTTTTAAACTCTTGGACTGTAAAAGATATGGTATAAACATCAATGGCACATATAATATATCACTCACTTTTGATTTCCAATGACATAGTAATCATGGCTGAATTCCCGAAGGATTTGAATACTATGCTTAATGATCTCAATGGTGTTTCTCAATAGGTTGGTTTAAAATGAACATGGATTAGACTAAAATCATGTCCAATGTCCATGTCACACCTATACCGGTTATGATTGAGAACATTATGCTCGACATTGTCGACGAGTATGTATACTTGGGACAATTTGTCCCAATAGTTAAGTCCGATTTTTGAGTGGCGATCCCGTATGCGCAAACGCAGTGTAGGACGATCTCCCACTATATGGAATGAGGACCTAAAATGCATTGTAGGGTATCAGTGAATGCAGGTGGCTCAGGACTGTTTCTTATTGTAGTCTATGTTGGTCTATGTCCAGCAGTGTACGAAAAATGACTGAAATGATGAATGATGATGATGAATATTATAGAGAGTAAAGATTTTTTTATGTTTATAACAAACACAAAATAAATCTTCTTATATGATATACTATATGTTAATCTAAAAAATAATATTTTAGGTTTTATAGAAAACTGTTATTTTTCTTTTTTGTGTGACAGCGCATTACGTAATAGGTGTAATATGGTAACATTTTCATTAAAATTGGTTAAATTATATTTTTTGTTATGGAATTATATTGACAGACATAAAATTCTCTCGAGATTAAAAACAATGTTTAGTAAAAAAAAGCCTCTAACACAATTATTGAATTTTATACAGGCGAAAATTATAATTCATGAATATTAACATTACAATATGTTAGTACACTGATAATATAAAATCTTTACTTAGAACTTACCTTAAAATATCATTGTGATAATTATTTTGTTCGCTAGTTACTTCCTTTTTTTATTGATAAGGCATCAATGTTGTTAGGTAATCATTATAAAATTTAACATAAACGTAGTGTTTGATATGAGTAGGATATAGGTTTTCTGTTCAAGTTACGCGGACGAAATTCGGGTAAAAACTAGTAAAATGTAAAAATATGTTCAATACTTATAATTATTAATATTTCACGCTCTTGCAACTCTATCTTTTCTTGATATGTTTGAATATTATATTTTTCCAATTATACTGCTAAATAAAAAAGATCGAAATAAAAGAAATCATTAAAATCTTAAAGAAGTGACTTATCCTTAAAGAATTAAGTACTTATGAGCTTTTATATTCGTCATTAAATAAAATAAAATTAATATAGTTTAGATACATACAATTACTAATTTTAATTAAATTTAATTCCTTACTTGAAAATTTCTTCTATTTTTGCCATTGTATCATTTAATAATAGATTTTTTTCTTCTAGTCTGCCTCTCAATTCATTTGTAATTTTCTTTTTATTCTCCAAGTCATCCCTCAACGCTTGCAACTTCTCCGTTCTTCTGGCTTCCATCATTTCATTCCAGTCTCGACGATCAACTAAATGAATATAATTAGTAGTTAGGTAGGTATTGTTTCAATTTTAGACCTTGAATAGAATTGTTAATATGCTGAATTTTCATTTTTTTATAGTCAATTTTAAAGCAATTTCGATAATTCTTTCTGTAATCGATGTGCTGTGGGGTTACTCTTGAAACAAATTCCAAGAAATTGATATTGAAATTGAGATGTTTTGCACTCTCGAATTGTCTAGCTAGCGACATATTGTCTCCATATTGTTCTGATAGATGCTCTTGCCAATGTAATCTATTGTAAACTGATCCTAATTATAATTTACGAGTAATTCCTAATTGTTGTTTCATGAATATTATAAAATTGACATTAGCAATAGATTGGATCGATATTGATATTAGATTTAAGAGTAGACCTGTTGGTCCTATATAAATTTTATTAAATTCGAAGTCGTTGTTTCTTTACAGACATTTTTTTTAATAATTTTGATAAAAGGACTTTAGGGCTGGCAGTAAGCGCGTAATGTTTGCGTTTATAGGCTTCAGTAGCCTTTTTACCAGGTACCACCTTTTTATCGGTGGTCCATATTACGCTTATTTAGTCTGTGGTGTAAAATGACCTCTCACTACGGTAATAACCGTACATAGATTAGATTATAACTATATCTATTATTACGCATGATTCAATCATGTATGTAAATACCTGAGCTGGAATAAGCTACTGTGGGTATTTCATTTGTGAATACAAATGCGTTTGTGTGAAGCCTATCACGTCAATTGAATGGTATCTATTAATATTACATACTGACCTACTAGTTGTCTGACGCGGTTAAGCTCACGATTGAGCACTTCATTCTCCGCGCAATACTCTGTCAGCAGTTTATACATAGAGAAGTTGGTATGTTCTATATCTTGGAAATTCATGATTATTTTTTTCGTGTTTACTTCATTTGTATAATTCTGATAAATTAAAATTATGTATTATACTCGTATCTATGTTTTAGAAAAATGAGGAATTTATGAAATACTTAACAATATTATGAAAACACTAAAAAATGTCGAATATTCTAACCTATTACGTATTCTTATTGAAAAAATGTAGTGGTACAATAAATGTGTACCACGCAATAACACTAATCATCTAAACGACAAACTAGAATACTCTGCGTTATGGGGAAACATGTAGCGAAAAAATTGGGCATAACGAAGAATACTCCGACTCGAATCAATTTAGAAAAGTTTGCTTTTTAGATTGGTCCAATCGAGAATTGAACCCGGGACCTCATTAACGAAAAGCCACGTGTCTGACACTGCGCCAGGGAGATCGCAAAAAATGACGGAATGATAAAATATTACAAATATATTTATTGCAGTAATTTGTCATATCACTAGACTAACGTAATACGTCATTTTATTAAAAGTGATGTAGTAAAGTGGAAATGGAAAGCTACATATTTTTATTAGGTACATATTAATGCTAGGCATAAAGCGGTTTATAGTCCTAAACTAGACGAACTTATATGTTGGGTGTACTAGGTATTGGATTCACAATTATGTTTTTTTTTGTACATATATACATATCATAGATAGCGTGATAAACCATTACCACTAAGATTATCACATAGAGCTCTAACTTTGTGATCTTTATGAAAGTTTGTCTTATCGAGAAGATAATTATTGTCTGCTAAATATATTTATTTTATCTGTTCGTAGTAAATCTAGCCAAGACTTCCAGATGCTTTTCCCTATTAATAACAAATATATTAATACATAGTTTATGAATTCTTAATATTTCTGTTACGAAGCTGTCGTTAGAAACTAGAGGTACTAGATAACTCGCCAAGATCGGACTAGTTCAGCTAGCGGTTTCCATACATTTATAATGGGTAAGCCAATTTCGATAGAAGGAACATTGAATAGTAAAGTATTTTCTTAGACATAGGTCAAATGTACTTTTAAATGTACTTTTTTTTAAAAAGAGGTAGGTTGTTTTATTCAAAGGTTTTAACAATGTTTACATCGTTACAAAGGAGCAAACAAATTTTATTAAATAGTACGTTTTTTAATCGCATTTTATATATGTGCCAAATTCGTTATTTATTTATATTTACAATGTTATCAGATTTTTATTCTTTTAAACAATGTCAGAAAGTTAAGAGACAAGGGATTAAATTTTTTAAAGGTTAATATAAAAAACCAATGTACGTTCTCGTTATGTTTTGTTACTAGAAGCTAAATCTATATGTAAATGATGTTAAACATAAAGTTACAAAAAACATGACAAATATTTCATTTTCAAATATATAATATATAATAAAACTTACATGAATTTCTGTCAAGATTTTGCAATGTTTATTATATTCTCTCTCTAGTTTTTCTTCTTCCTTTATTTTCTGTTCTTCTTCTTTCTGCTCTTGCTTTTTGTTAATTCTTATGATACCCTTTTTTGCCAAGAAATTGTATAATTTCATTTCATGGTCAAAATATTTTTGTAGTTCCCGCATTTCCTATACAATAAAGAAGCATATAAATAATTTGGCTAAATTAACAACATTTAAAATATTTCATATTACCCGTATTAAATATTGTTTATATTTTTTTTTATATTTTCCATGTATTTGTTCTCGTACCGAATATTTTTCCTAGGTGAGCATATTAGGAAATTGTAAAGTTCACCTAATCGATTGAATAAATAATAACATGAAATATTTTTCACCTTCGAGATAAAAATTTGTTCACGTTATTATATTGTTAATTTCGTAACGATGTAAGAGGCGGCTAAGGGAAAAATAAGGAGAAAAAGTACAAAGTAAAATATAATAGGAATATAACAAACCACATGGCTAGTGTGTTATAAGTAGTGAGCAGTATTATAAGAATATTATTGCACGATTAATGTTTTAGTTCACTAGCCTCTGCTAGTTTTTATATAATTAGAAAGATTGAAAAATGTTAAATTTTCTTTGAATATTTGACATATAATTGCGATGTTGCTATACTCCAGCAAGCTAAAGTTTTAAACACTATTTAATCTTTAAATAATGTAATAAAGTAGTAAGAGATTGCTTAGCAATAAGACCGCCTTTTGTTGTTGGTACAATAAAGTGTTAAATAAATAAGTAAATAAGTAAACAAGTAAACGAGTGGACGAGTGAACGAGTGGACGAGTGAACAAGTGAACGAGTGAACGAGTGAACGAGTAAATAGGCAAATAAGTAAATAAAGATTTCAGTTGTTTTTCATCATGCTAGGAGTAACTTTACTATTGTTTATTGGAGTATTTTAACATGTTAACAGTATTTAGCATCACCATTTATTTAAAGAGATAGTTATAGTCCGATTGTAATGACCAGATATGATTTATGGTTCTTACGTGTCGGGGTAGTAAACCATTATGTTTTCTGTTTAATAAAGATTTAATTACAATATACACTTACTAACGTGCGTGCTGTCAATATTGTAATTCTAGAATCAATGGCGTGATATGTCCATGATTAATTAATAGTATTAAACATCATTAGTGTTCGAGCTTTATTTGAGTTTTAACTGTAATTATATTAGTGTAAGGTTGAATTTAATTCCTTGCGATCCTACACATCAATTAAAAGTAAATCAATTGATTGTCACAGCATAGCACATCATTCTACCTGATTGTGTTTGATCCTTAATTATTAGTGGAAGAATTGAATTATTATGAATTTATGAGGGCGTCATGGCCTAGTGGCATGTTACCCTGTTTTATAGGCTTATAAGTCATGAGATTTTTTTTTTTTTGTTTTTGTATATACTACGATCTGTCTCCTTGCTGGGACAATAAATAGTATTTTGATTTATACTTTAATGGCGTGCTCAGTATGCGACTTGAGTCGCATCTTACTTTATTTTATAGAATCATGTCTTGGGGCATTCTGCGTTTCAGTCTGCGAGTTGTGTAATTTACGTCCATAAGATCTCTTGCCAGTCTGTTAGGGTGTTTTGTTATCCTCTCCTTGTAGGATTGTGTGTATTGTAGTATTTCCTGTCTTACAGTTCCAATTTTTAGGTCATGATGTAGTTGCTCGTTTGTGACAAACCAAGGAGCATTAGTTATTATTCTCAGCATTTTATTTTGGAATCTTTGTAAAATCTCGACATTGGAATGAGACGCTGTTCCCCAGAGCTGGATTCCATAGGTCCAGATAGGTTTTAGTACCGTCTTGTATAGAAGCAGTTTATTGCTCAGAGACAATTGTGACTGGTGACCTAATAACCAGTAAAGCTTTCGCATTTGTAAACCCAATTGTTTGCGTTTGGTCATTATATGTTTTTGCCAGGTAAGTCGTCTATCCAGGTACAGACCTAAATATTTTACATTGTCTGCTTGAGGGATTTCTACATTGTTAAGCTTCACTGGGGGGCAAATATATAATAAGTCATGAGTTGGATTCTATTATCAGATATCATCAGAATTAATTGGAAATTTTAATTTTGATATCAATCAAAATTTAAACTTCCAGCTAACTCTCTGGTAATGAAAGCATTATCAAATTAATCCTAATGACAGTACTAATATGTTTATCCGTCACGTTGGATTATATTATTAGATATTTTCCGCGAAAAATGGTCATTTAGATTGATATGCTCTCATGACCGTAACACTTGAGAAAAACCTCAATATTTCTTAAGGAAAAATAAATAGTTACGAGTAGTTTTTAAAATATTATTATATATATAAAATATAAAATATTATAATATTTAATTACATTGTAGGCATTATAGTGCATTCTCTGGTTCGTTCTACTAATTTAGTAATAATGTGTTGCAGCAAAAACTTGCAATTAAGTATTTTATTGTGGTGTAGTGTAAGTATCGTTGAGTGGTATATCGTGTTATTTTAAACTGTATTTCTATATTACTACCGAGTGAAACGTAGTGGAGTAATGTGTAGACCTTTTGTAATAAATAATGGCGTAGAATTGCATATGCTTGGCGTTATTTTTGAACTATGAATAGGGAATGGTAATTTTGTTTCATCTATCAGTATACATCGGTGGAGCACTAGTGAGTGATAATGCTTGAGGAAGAAGTTTGGTCACAATTATTTTCATTGGGATTATTTGAACTTTTCTCTCTTGCCCAACCTCTTTATATATTGTAACCTATTTCCTTCCTCATCCTAAATACAATATTTATACAAAATTTCACCACGACTGGGCGACTTTTGTTAATAGACTGACTTAAAAAGAGTGCTGTACTAGTAACATTTCTCTTTGAATGATTTTGGATTTTGTCAGTCTTACCCAAGATAATTTTTCTATGCTTCTTCAAAAATTTTGCTAAATACATGGGTATGAGTTTATAATAATGTTTCAGTACTTGGTGCTTGAAATTGATTGGCGCTGAAATATATGTAAACTAAATATACTATTTCGGATTATGTTCTCTGCGAGAACAATGAGTCCGCTGTTCTACTTATTTTAGTATCAGTTTTGTAGTATAGTGTAATATCTATTATTAATACATCATTGTTGATATTCAACAAAGACGGATTTAGACAAATGGATCACAAATCCTATACGATATGCAATAAGAGCTAGTACATTGAAAGATACGTTTTGATGGAACTGTTTTTTCATTTATATTTTAGTTCTCAAGAATGTTGACTCATGAGAGACCATGGGGTCACAGTATTTTTTATAATGTTCATGGTGTCGTTAATGTGTGTAAGTGACGATTACTATTACCATTATATATTCTGATAACTTATTGGTACGTTTTAAGTAGCTTAAAAAAATTAGCTTTCGATTTTAATCTATTTAATTTATTACGTAACATAAAATAGTTTTAATTACCTGAACTTGAAGTGATTGGTCCATCTTTCCCTTCTCCTGTAGAGAGCGCAACTTAGTGCACCATTCGTCCCTCTGGTCATATGCTAATGTAGATGATTCGAATAAATCTATGAGGAATTTCTTTCCTTTACTCAGCGCACCCATCAATTTGTCCCACGCCTGATTGAACGCTGCTCTGCAAAATTGATAATCATTGTTTATATAGAGTGAAATATTTCTTAAAATTTTTTTAACTAGAACTCTACATGTTGAAATCGAAATCGATCATCTTTTGAAGAAAAGTTTCCTAATTATATTGAACGTTTTCACCAAAGAAATAAGCGATGGTAAAGTGGTACATAATACAAGCGGTAGAACACACAAAGAGAGGCATAGTTTTCCCTTAGACTTAGGGTTCGATACCGATATTACTTAACTATGAGAATTCTATGAGGTCTAAATTTTTTTATTTTTTGAGACACTACTTACCTATCTTTCAACATGTGTTCAATCTCCTCTCTAATCTTCTTGTTTTCATACTGTACAGCGTTAAACCTTAGCTTGGCAGCTTCTAGCCGGTTCTCCATTGATACCAGTCGATTTTCACTTTGTTGTCTTCGTTTTTCAATCTTTAAATTGGAATATGTAAGGAATTGTATTAAATTTTTACTAATCTTATTATTATTATAAACTACTATATTCAGTTTCACTTACTTGAATTTATACTAATGTAATAAAAAATAAGATTTATGTTTGTTTGAACGCGCTAGTCTGTAGAACTAGGTACTAGGCGAATTTGAAAAATTCTTTTTGTATATGATAGCTGATTTCATGAGGAAGGATATTTAACATCACGATACGACTATGGGTGAAGCTGCGGATTACTCCTAATTGGTGTATAAAATACCTTATGCATTATACTAAGGTATAATCTGTTTATGTTTTAAATTTTTTCAGCCACTTAAGTGTGATAAAATAATCTTAACGGTATATTTTTTAAAATTATAATGAAAAGTGGAGTTGAGAACCTATATTTTTATTTATTGTAACTTTGGCCATTTAAGTATTACACCCTCAACTATAATTATACTGCAGTGAGTATATATCGGTTTCTTTAAAATTTTTGGTATGTTCTTGAGTTTGAGTTTTTAACATTAAGAAATTTTTAAAACTTTACGAAGTATTATAACTGATGATAAAAGGTAAATGAAGTGTTTAAAAATATAAGATTATTCATTAATTTTATAAAAAACTATCTTCGACTGAAGATGTCAAAATGAGGTATAATGTACTTATATACAGTCTGAGCAGTATTTTGTGTATGGCGCAATACATGTCTGTAGGATGGAATTTAAATTTGTTTATCATTCTAAGTCTCTATCTAATTCTAAGAAGAATAAATATCTATATCATTATTACATAATATAGGTTACGTAAACGGGTAATGTCTTCAAAAAGTTTTATTAGTTTAAAAACTGATTTTAAAATGAGTTACGTTATTTTTATTGATATACGTTGAACATAGCCCACATTAATTAACATATATTCAATATTCGGCATTCAAAATTAAATGAATCAAATTAATTTTTAAATAATAAAGACGTTTTGTTGTAATTGAACTTCAAATAAGGCTTTTTTTTTCATAGGCTACGGTAACTGCTTACCATCAGGTGGGCCGTATGCTTGTTTACCACCTCAGTGGTATAAAAAAAAAAGTCAGATACAGGTTCTTGTATCTTATGTACAATATTTCTTAAATAAATAATTTTATCATTACATTATACATGGTCTAAGAAAGAAATTAAATTCGGAGTAACTTAATGTGAAACTTCTGAATAATCATAAACTTACCTGCCCTTCATTGGCATTGGTGCGTTTTCTCAGTGATAACATTTCCTTGCTGTTGTCATGGAGCAAACCATCGATCTGATGCATCGTGGTTAGACCAGCTAGAATAATACAATAAATTTAAATCTATTTACAAGAAATACTTGCTTTTACATTATTTACATACAATTTCGGATTTTTAAACAGCTTCAAAAAGGAAAATACTCTCAATTTTTTAAGAAATGCATAATCTTTATATATAAATACATTCCATAATTTTATTTATCCTATGTATTTATAAAAATTTTTTCCTAGATTTTATTAGCAATTGCGAAACTATTAAATTTTTCATTCTTATTCCATAGACAAAATAATACCTTTTTTTTTACAACACAGGGAGCAAACGAGCATGCGGCTCACCTGATGGTAAGTGACTACCGCCGCCCATGATCACCCACAACAGCGGCATTGCAGGTGTGCTGCCAGCCTAAGTTATACTTTTCTTTATATTAGTATTAGTAGAATACTTCTAGTACAAAATGTTCGAATAATTAATTCAATATATACACCATGATATACAAAACTAACCTTCGCAATCGAATTCTGTTTTAATTCTAATCAGCAGTGCTCTCGTGAGCTCACTTCTCATTCGCTTGTCCTTTTTCTTGTGCGCTCCAGACCTCGCTATCTGTAGCAAATTGGTACAATCAATATACGGAAGATTATTACGACTTTGCCTGCCATCCATTCTATGAATGGAACTGAATATAGAATATTATCCTTATTACCATAAATATATTTTACTACATAATTATGCACTTTCTATATATACAGAGTTATGTATATATTGAAAGTCTGTATACGTACAGCTTGCTTTTTATACAGAGATATGAACTCAATTTAGTTATAACCAAAGTTGCGAGTTCGATGATAAACCTATTCCCCATCAGGGATATAACATATACGCCACTGATTCTAAATTCTGCCTACCAAAATTACAAGTTCGATATACGTGCTTGAGTAGTTTTAAAAATATTTAGTAGATTGCTTACAAACCAACAACAACCAAAACTTAAAGACGGATAAGCTGTAAAAGATACAGGTGTTAATTTCGATATGCATAGGTTAGTCTAATTTTCCATACGACTGAATACCTACGACAATCGAGCTGATGACCCATCTGATGAAAAGTAGTAACGTTTGTGATGGTTCAGAATGTTTAAATCTTGATTAATTTTCGATATTCATGGTTCATTTGGCTGTCACGTACAATATATCGTACCATGTATTTTCAACAAGAATATGTTTGTATGCGATATTTTGCAACAAAGACGGTGAGTCGATTGTTATTTGTAAATATATTGGTTATTTTCGCTATTGGAAAACATTCTGCAACGTCGGTAAAATGTTTTAGTCATGGTCTGGCGAATGTTACGGGAGTTTAAGTTCCTGGCCAATATAGACAAACTGTAAAAGTTTTTATTTTCGAATACGAATATATATCGCAGAATTTTATAAAAAAATGACAACTGTATATAGTAGTTAGGATATAATTTCATTGGAATTACTTCGAAAAGTAAATTTTGGTTTGCAAAAAAAGCGGTAATTTTAATCGCAGCAAAGTATACCGATGAAGAAGCGTATATTTTTGAGACACATTACATTGAACTACATTCTTATTTCAAATTAAAACGCAGTTGTGTATTAACGTGGAATTGCAAAACTTTTAAGATTTTGGGTGATGTATTTTTATTTAAGATACATAATTATTTATAGAATTATATTATATAATCAATTATATCGTAACAGTGACCATAACTCAAAATAGGGTTGAAATAACGACAAGCTCAAAATAATTAAGTCATCGTGATAAGAATCAGTTATGTATATAACAACGAATTGTGTTTCTCAATGATAAAATTTACGCAATAATTGCAACAATCGTCGTACAACCCGCTACAAACTAAAGTTTCATCACAACCATCTGGACGAGTGGCGGTCCTCTACCGTGCGTTTTTCAAAGCACTTTCTTCCACGCACAACCACTCTTTGGAATCAACTTTCAGCAGCAGTATTTTAGAACCGATACGACAACATAACCTTCAAGAAAAGAGCATATTCCTTTTGAAAAGGCCGGCAGCACATCCGCAATGGCGTTAGTGTTGTGGGTGATCATGGGCGGCGGTAGTCACTTACCACCAGGTGAGTTGCATGCTCGTTTGCCCCCTGTGTTGTAAAAAAAAACCTAGATAAGTGACGATCTTCCACCGTGCGTTTTTAAGGTACTTTCTTCTTTCTACGCATAATCACGCTTTCGAATAAACTTTGAGCTGCAGTATTTTCGAAACGATATGACATCATAATCTTCAAGAAAAGAGCATAATCTTTTTAAAAGGCTGGCAGTACACCTGTAATTCCTCTGGTGTAGCGGGTGCTCTTGGGCGGCGGTAGTCACTTACCCTCAGGTGAGTCATATGCTTGTTTGCCCTTGTGTTATAAAAAAAATATTGACACATTACTTAATTCTATGGAGTGAAAGACATTTGTTTACATTTCATGTATAGAAAGGCGGTGATATTAGGACGTATCACACTCACACAAGTAATAGAAACATGGTGCAGTAACATAAGTGGAAAGTGATAGGGCGACGCAGTATAACATAGCGTTTATTATCACTTATCCTAAGGTTACCCGTTGGCGTGTTTGTTATTCCCAGTAGAGTAAAGTTTAATGATAATCAAATTAAAATTATCTTTATTCAAATATACTTGTTTACAAGCACTTTAAAATCGTCATTTAACTCAACAGATACTCTTTTAAGTCTTTGTTAACTATGTCTAAAATTACATGGTCTATAAAAAAGCCCATTAGTAAGTAAATAAGTCCAAAGTTCATGATCGACTAACACCATGCACGTTTGTCATTCAAGTAATCGTTTAGTACGAATAGGTTTTGTTTAATAAGTGTTTTTAATAACAATTTTAAATTTATTAAAAGGTCATCCAAAATATTCTTCGGTATCTTATTATAACATTTAATACCCATTCCCAAAAAAGGCCTATTAGATTTTTTTAAATGATATTTCGGAACAGTTAGTTTGTATTTGTATCTATTGTTAAGATTATTGAGATCGCTGTTTTTAAGAAACAGTTGAAGATTTCTACGTATATACAAAATGTTTGCGTACTTATATGAATTATGAAGCTACGGTGAGAACATTTATTCCTTGAAATTTTTTTCCTAGTGATTCACGAGTTCCCATAGAATAAATCGTGTAAATTGCACGTTTTTGTAATACAAATATGCTTTGAATATCGGCCGCTTTACCTCAGTATAATATTAAATAGGATAGTATACTATAAAAGTAACTAAAATAAACTAATCTAGCAGTCCCGATATTAGTATACTGTATTAACTCTGCGTACGACATTAACAGAATTACATAAATTAGTTGCGGCGACAAGAGGAAAATTTTAAATAATAAAAAAACAACAACATATGTACGCCGCAGATCTTCATTTAGTTGCAACTTTTGAATGTGAAGGCCCCATAGTGTTTTATTATTTAATTTTATAGTATAATTAAAGAATTATATTACAGAATTCTTGACTTTCATTAAAAAGTATGAATTGAGACACAGACTGTTAATCTCTCTATCAAGGTGAAATAAAGGTTTCTCACCGAACATAATAAATTTTATACTTCTCGTCCGTAAAAATCCATCGAAAGTTTTTACTTAAGTAATAATTGTATATTACTTTAAGTAGATAATATAAATTATCTTCGAAGTTTTGTAGAACTCATTTCAAAAAGATTATTTTTTAATTAATTCATACTATTATTTATTACAATATTATTACTGCTTACACTTTATTATAAACACTACTGTTGAGAATATTGGCGTAGTGAAATAACCTTTAATTTTCATTATTGTTAAATTGTTTTTATTATCTACTATCATTCTAAATATAAGTAGAATTAAATTCGTTTGTTCTCACTGCGCCTTTTATTAAGAGTGGCGTAATAAAAAGTTACGGTTTCTCTTTCGGGCGAGCGAGAAAGGTAGGCGGCTTTCTGTAGGTACCTACACAAATATTTAATTTGTACACTATTTTCTTTAATATAATGAAATTTTTTAAAACTATATTACATTATTGTTTCATTTCTTGTTACCTATGGAGTCATATCTATGTTCATGCGTGTAGTGCAATAAAATTGTTGGTTTACTAAGAAATTTATTAATTGTTAATTTAGCACTGCATGTATTAGGTCAATATATAGGCCCACTAGTTTTGTATTAATTGCCTATATTTGTATTTAGTATATAAGATCTTTTTTATTTCTTAATTTTGTCAGTTATAACCGAGCCATTGGAAATATACATTTTCACACATCTTGTCGTCTCAATATAACCCGCAACATTACCGTCAACTTCAATGTTTATAGAGAAAGAAATTTAGGTTGGTTATTACACTACACAATAACAAAAAAAAAAACAAATATTGAGAAGAGAAGGAACATTAAAGACGTTTCCAAAGAAACTGTTTTAACTACAGACGAAGTATTATTGTTTTAACCAACTTTAAAAAGTAGAAGATTTATAATTTTAGTACATAGCACACTGTTTCTTTTTTATACACTATGGAAATAAACTGTTGTGGTGTGTCTTATGGTCTTGATAGTTGTAGTAAATATTGCCTACAGACGGGAACAATACATTATATTATTAACTGTATAATATTTCTACCTATATTTCCTCATACTGTTGTGTAGTATTGTCACCTGCGACCCAGTGGTCCTGAGTATTTCTACTTTATGACGTCGTTTTCCAGGTGCGTCGATTCATGAGGTGCCGTTCTAGACTACGTTTGTCTATACAAGTTCGCCAATTCAGCCAAACATTTGAAATAATTTATTATTTTGGCTTCATAAAGTGCCACGTTTAGTACACATTTATTAATATCGTTTGCCGAGTCCAAACACGAGTTATTTAATGGCTTTATAAAATATTCATCTCATCCGACGTTCGACTAATAAAGCATCGCTTGTGCAACGTAGTCGAAACGTCGTCTAACATTAATACATAAAAGCCATATTAATACAAATTTTGATACTTCTGCAGGTATTTTCGTGTACATTTTATAACGGTATGCATATATTTTATTATTTAAGATTAGAAATTAGTTATTGCAGTATACCACGAAGTAGTGAGATTACGACTTCAGTGATATAAGTTTTTTATGTTATAAAAACTTTACGAAATTATCACGATTGTAATCTAAAAGGAGGTAAGTAGTAGTTAGGTATAAAAGATTTATGTAATTAGAGATACTTATTTTATTTACAATTACTGATTTCTAAAAAATAATCTAAAAATGTTAGCCGGTAGACACACTATCACTTTTTATTTTGAAAAATAAATGTTTATAAAAATATTTAGTAGATAATAGGTAATTTTAAACATCGCTGTGTGTGCCTCGGCATAGAATGGACCACCCCTTCCTTTTCCGTGGGTGTCGTAAGAGACGACTAAGGGAGGGCGAGGGATGGGCAGCAGCGTCCCTCTTAAAACATCTTTAAAAGCCTAACTGCGGTTGCCAACCCGCTTGCCAAGCGTGGCAACTACTGGCAACTTATGGGGAAGGCTTATGTTCAGTTGTAGACAGTTAACAGCTGACATAATAATTATAAAATCTTAAACAAATTTTGATAATACAAGAATATATCTATTTCTACTCACGCCGGGTCTACAGACAACTGATGTTAGTTAAAGAGAAAAATGATTTATATAAATGAAAGACTCCTTTATATTACATAAAGAAAAAAGAAGTAGGAATTTTTATGGTTCATATACCATAAAAATTCTTACTTCTTTTTTCTCCACTAATAAAAATAACAATAAAAAATGTGCCAGAATAGGGGAACAAAAGTGTGACTGGAAAGGAGGCTACGTGTTTGGGAAGTTGTCAAAGTTAGTATGCGATAAGTGGAAACTTTTGGTGATCTAACACCGAATCCACGACCTTACAGACTTGTCCTATATGTCACTGTCAGAATGTTTTGAGCCCTTTTTGTTACATCATTGGTTACTGTCTAGTTCGGAAGTTAAATTAGTTTTATAAAATAAACCAATTTGCTCACAAGTTAGAGGCAATAGTCGAGTATTATCGTAGTGATAAACGTAACGCAGTATTCATAGTGATGTAACTTAAGAAAACAAAAAGCTAATAATAGCGGTTTTTGATCCAGTTATTGGAGACTCCGTAGCACACAATAAGAGAGTGGTTTACGCGATTATTGGGTAACTGGTGGTCGGATTTGATAGGTCACAGGTTAGATTGCAGCTGTGGACTTAGCTTAACACTCGAAATGCTCGCATTTCGCAGAATATATTTAGATCAAACGTGGGATGAGAGGAGTCATCTTTCAGCTTCATTTCGTTTGGCGAGTCTACCGTCATTTATTAGATTAATTTGACTTTTTAGCAGTTGTTTTCATCACTGAAGAGGTTGTAAGACATTTTAAATTTGATATTTTATAATTAGTACGAGTTCATTTGAAAATAAGTGGCAATTAAAAAGAAATATATCTATTACAGATCTGTCTGAAGGAATTGCCCTATTCATTATAACAGACTATGGAGGAGGTCTATGTTCAGCAGTAAACAGATAACGGCTGATATGATGATGATGATGATGATGATGACGTCTATTATGTTACACATAAGAGAATAGTAAAATTCGGATTTTTATTCTTTATTGGAGTCAGCTAATAATATTTAATTTCAATAAAAAAATAGTTATGAAAGTGAACATACCAAAAAATTACAATATAGGTTAAAGTCAATTGATTCTTATAGTGGTATATTTGTAGTGAAAAATATAGAATATTTCTAATATATAATCAGTTTAGTTACTCAAATCATAATAACTCACCTTTAAGTCTTTGATTAGATTGATATATTCCTTCTTGAGAGTCCTCAATAGTTGATCTTGGCGTCTAAACTGAGGATGCACACCCATAGTTCGATGGAGTCGGTCAATTTGTATCATTCGTACCTTTTATGGAAAAGTTAGTTATAATTAACCACATTGTTTAAGAAATTGATAGTTTGCAAGTAATAATTGTCGTGTTAAAATTCTAATGTAACATGAATTAAATTTAATTAATTATTTAAACGAACTAAAAAATAAAATTAGCAAATAAATACTCGCAGTTTGAAGACGAAGATAGTGTTGCTGCGACATAATGAGTAAAAATTCGGGAAGACATTATGGGGTATCTAGTAGATTTAGATAAAGCGGTAGCCGATATTTTGAGCCCATATTTGTACTTATCCAGTATTTCCAGTTTATTTATTAAACTAAAAGTATACACAGTTTTAATATTAAGCTTTTACCTTTAAAAATGCTTAGAATCTATTCAAGTAAACTGCTGAATTAGACTGTTTTAACTTACACACGCACTGTAATAATTCTTTCTTTTTTTATCCCACAATTTTTATTGTACCTAGTATTTAATGATCTAACGGCAGAATTCAAGTGGTTGCCGTAAGTTGAAAAAAAGTATTAACTTTCTTTCTTTTAAAGTTATGGATTGTACCATAGAAAAGATTTTTATATTACGGCGGTAAGTTATATTATTTTATTATATGGGGATATCCATATAATATAATAATATATAGAAAAGTGTACCCGTTCGCAAATACATACATACAATATTAGTCAATGATAGAGATTCATTTATATACATTAGTTTGATTAATTACGAGTCGTGACTATTCTATGCAATTATTTGTATTTTATGGTTTTCCGTAGCTTATATGAATTACTGGCATATTTTGTATTATTAGTTCACACGATTCAATGTCTACTGTTATGGTCAACTATATACTACTTTAGATTTATTATGATTTCTACGAGGCGGTATATTAAATAAAAAAAAGAGTCAATTTGAATAAAATATTATTTATTGAAATGTATTTATTATTAAATGTGCTGTTACTACTGAAACATATCTCTTTGTATTATTTTATAACTGGTGCAATAAAGAATAAATAAATATTTTAAATACTTTTAAAAATGTAGTTTATTTTTATTTTATTTTATATCGTTTAGATAAATCGCAAACTAATCTATATCACTGGTATGAGATAAAAAGAGACAACAAGTGTTTGGTTCTTTCTCATTAAATATGCTAAGGAAAACGTGTCTAGCAATAGTTTTGTGTGCTGTTTGTCTAGGTAATGTAGCTACTACTAATCTATGGAAAAATATAGAATATAAGTATACTTGTCTTTGAAGTCTTAAATGGTCGTCCTCCATCTTTTTCATCAGTTCCATGTCACTGGTCTGCGTCTCCAAAGATTGGGAACCTTCCATACTTTAAGAATTTATAAATTATGTAAAAATTTGCTTTTCTAAAATAATATTACAGCGACCAACTTGATTTGTGTGATTTGTAATTTTGATTTGTCAGTGTTCTAATAATAAAAAAAAACATATAATGCCTACCTACACACACACACACACACATACATAAAGACAGAGAGAGAGAGAGAGAGAGAAAGAGAGAGAGAGAAAGGGTTTATAAGTACGTGGTCTACGTGGTATGGCGTATGTCTCACTGGGGGGAAAGGGATTGTTAGTAATGGGGTCTAACTGCACCATTGGTAATAATACATCCTATCGGCTCGACCTCCGCGTGGTTCCCCCTGGAAACCGTCATGGTTAATTCTAGTGTAATTCGTCATGATGGGCTAATTGACCTGTTTTCATCGTCACCTATTATCTCTCACTGGTGCCCCGTCAGCGTATACCGTTAGCGCAGGCGAGGTAACCATTTCATTATCACCCATTAAAAAAAAAGTATGTGTCACTCGTTCATTTGCTTATCGTTGAGCCGCTGTGTTTATGTTTGAAGAGTGAGGAACATTTTAAACTTGTTCTCGAGTATGACATCGGGTGAGGAATTTCATTCGTGTCATAGCTGATCATAGTGTATTGTGATGTCCCATTCAAGTGTAGAGATGACAGTTACATGTTTTCATCTGGTGGGCCGTCAGTTTAATTTTATGTTACAAAACAAAATATGAGATGTAATTTATTACGATAAAAATAATATAGTCTTATGTTTTTATTATCACTGATAGAATTGCTTTACCAACTGACATTCGAATAAATAGATATATATATATATATTGAGTCACATTTAACAAACCATAGAATATTAACTGATTTTTTTTTTTTACAATATTTCTTCACTAATAGTAAATCGAGATGCACGATTCCTTTTTAAAATCATTATTATACTAATCTTGTTAAGCAATCTCCGGCAATATTAGTTTGTTTCAATTAATTATGTTTCGCAAAGCATTATTACTTACAGTCACGATATGAAAATTGATTAATTATATGATAATGTGTATATATGTTTTTAAGTAAATATAATATTATATTATTAAAATAAGTGTTAAAATACACACTGTACACTGTAGAACATACGGATATTGTAGAATAAGATCAGAGTCTATACTTTAGTTGATTTTGTAGTAGACAACAAATTTAACAAGACGAAGCGTATAGTTTAAAACAATTTCCACAGAACATAAAATAAAAAAGAAACGCAGACCTACTCTTTGAATGTAGCCAGTGAAAACCGTTTAAAGTAGTAATGCCTGTACATTGAGGAAAAAGGAAGTTGTCTTGAATAGCTGACTAATTTACAAGAAACTTATTTATATTGTGGTTTGAGGTGGAATCTAGCCGACACCATTTATTCTTTATTTAAAAAAAATGTTTGTTGATTACGTGTTTTAAGAATTAGTCCTAAAGAGAATAAGACATTATAAGAATTTATCGAAATAGCCTTTTCACACTTAGTCCTTTATAAAATTAGTTGCCATTTTGTAAATTAAGCATTTAGCGACTAAACCTCTCTGGTGACCGTTTTTGGTGATTTTTTTGTAAGGTTAAATTTTTTTTAATTATTAATATTATGTTTATATTAATAAACATGAAAATAAATTTGTTTGTTACTTTTTAGCACCTTAACTCTTTATTTAATTATTATAGAATTTTGCATATGTGTAGGTATCATATGGAATAGAGAAGGATATTGGCTAATTTTTATCCCGATCAATGAATATATCAATGTTAGCTGTTACAGATAGGTATTTAATTTTAAGCTTATTATGAATATTAAACGACAGAGAACGTAAAAAGAACCGACGAAAAAAGGTCTTATTTTGTAGAGAATAAGAAATAGACAATTAAAAACAATAAATGCAATGATAATACTACAAGATTATTTTTTATAAATCTTAAACAGTAGGTACGTTCGGCTCAGAAAATGAGCACTGAAGAGTTTTAGTTCCAACTGTAAGAGGCACTTCGAAGGGAATAGTACCGCAAAAACATTGAAAAAGAGGATTTTAATAGACAAAGAAGGCATTGGCGTCCGCTTATTACACCGTCCAGTACAGGATTATTTATTTATTTATGATGTATTGCATGTAAAATGTATGCAAAATATGCAATGATAATTAGAAATTAGAATATGTTTTACTATGGTAAAAGAGAATAAATATGAAATGATATAGACAAATATATATACATGAATCTCTTACAGAGAACCTTATATGAAAGCAATGATTTATTTTCAAAGAAGATATAATTTATACTCAGAAAACATCTAAAAAAATGCAATAAACACAGGGACAGCTCACATAGGTATTTAACCACATTATCAAATAATTAAAAAAGTGATGTACCGGTTAAAATAAAATATTTAATGTGGCTAGGGTTTGTCTCTCGATTCTCACCATTACGATAGATTGACCTTATCAAAACGATCACACATCAATCTGTTGTGAGATTCTCTCGATCGGCCGTAAGTAGAAATAAATGGAGATACATTGCGAGCACCTTAATTGCGAAGAAGAGTCTCATCGACAATCCACTATAATCATGAACACTACGACCTCTCTGTCAAGAGTGTACAACTAAAGAGAGAGAGAGTATATGTTAATTGCGCGTAAGTGTATGCAAGTTATAGTGGTGTCTCAGAATGGTATTAGTTGGTTTCAATTCCTGGATTCATTTTCGGAGTATTTTTTACCTTTTTTATTACAATATTACATTATGTTTAAGAGATATAAAGAGTAGGGTAAAGAAATAAATGGGCAGATGGCAAAAGAATAGATTTATTAGAATAGCATGCGATCTAAGAATGTAATTTTTTTCGTTCTTTTATAAATTCACTATATACATAAGTTATTATCATAGCTAGAAGTGTATTACGTAAAAGTGTATATTATTATTATTTCAGTGTCTTGGCAAAATGACAATATAGTATAGTACATTTATTTGGTAGCAGTTTTATTTGTATACCGGAGTTTTATCAATGACGTAAAATAACAGTTACATCTATGCCTTATATTTTGTGTAATGTAAAAGAAAAAATATGGTCGCAGTGTGGTCCCAGTATAGAATAGGCCACCCCTTCCTTTCCCGTGAGTGTCATAAGAGGCGACTAAGGGGACCTAATGGTCCAGTGATAAGCAACAGTGTCCTACTTAAAACATCACTAAAATCCTTACTACAGTTGCTACCCCGCCTTCCTAGCGTGGCAATTACTGGCAAAACTCTCCTTGAGTTTTTACGGATTTAGTAGTTACTACGGAGAATGCTTATGTTCAGCAGTGGATAGTTAACGGCTGATATTAAAAGAAAAAATATTAGAAATATTGTTACAAATCTGTATGATACGTGGAACTATTCCAACACAAAACATTCATGTATTCTAAGTATACACGATCTGAGTTCTTAGTGTGCCGCCAGCTGTGATAATGCAATTAGTTCTTAAGCAATTAAAAAAGCTAGAGGTTTTCAATTTGTTTACACACATGTGTATTGTGTGAATGTTATATTTTTTTGTGTTAACTCATTTATTTCTAGAAATATTAAATAGTAGACTTTTTTGTTTAGTCCATTCCATAAAATATTTTCACAGTTTATAAGTCTATTAATTTTTACCCGCGATTTCGTTAGTATACTTATCGCATATAAACCATCTATATATATGTAGAGGTGATGAGCAACTTTTTGAATTTCTTATCAACCTTTTTTTTTTATAGAAAACGTAGTGATTTTTGTGAAATAAGTAATTATGTGTATTCATACCTTGGCACTAATTTATGCCTTATATATCTTTGATATATATCTTAGTCAAGACTGTACAGAAATAGATTGGATAGTTATTTTTAAGATATAATGAACTAATACAGTCTCTTAAATTAAAATTATCCAGGGTTATCCTTACTATACACATTATATCCTTAATACATCCGTAATACACATCCTGGAAATAATAATACACATAGCTTTTCGGGATAGACAAGGACGTACGCTAATTTTTAATATATCCTGGTCCTGAAAGATGTGAGTAAAAACTAGTTATATAAAAGATAATCGGTGAATGAAAGTATCGAATTCAGAAAATATTTTTCCAGGTTTCCTTTGTTGCGTCGACAACACTGCACAGAAGTTCCTGTTTATTTATTACCATCTTTTGCTTGTGACTTCGTCTACTAAATACACAAGGCACTTTGTTCTATATCCCAGAGGTACCCTACATATTAATGGTAGAAAAGTGAACTAAGTACCCCAGAGGATTTGCAACTTGCATCGTATGTAGACATTCACAATATCTCTAGCGTTCTAGTATTGCACTTTAGGGGGTTAGATTGGGACGAATTTATCAAAATTTTAAAATTCTTTATAATTACACTATGAGGCCCATGTTTATATGATATTAGATGTACCCGCGACTTCGTTCGCATGTTACTAAAGTAAGTAGGTAAGTAAAGTGGACTGAAAAAAAAAAACAAATTTGTGTAATTAATTGGTTGCATTGCTGTAGCTGCTTAGCAATCAGCGTATGATTTTCATTACACTATGTATTTGTCTCCAAGCCAGATTCCTTACAGAGTAGAAAGAGGGAACCTAGTGTCTGTCGTATTAGATATTAGCAAAACCTTACTTTCAGGTCGGAATTTATAGATGTAGAAGAAATAATTTTCATTTTTGTTTCTTTTTCAAATTATTTATTTATTTATATGCTTTTGTACATTCACTTATAGTATAGATATTAATTTTGATGTGTGATATTTCGATTTTTGTTGTTTGGAATTGCAATTTCTACATGATAATAGATGGTATTAGCCTTATTACGAACAAAACTAATTTTATTTCTTTTTTGCATTAATTTTATTAACTCTTTTTTGCCTATGTATCACCATGTTCATTATATTAAACTAAATATAATGTTAAAATTTCAACACAATTGGTCCTTAGTCATCACGAGATGCATATTATAAAAAATAATTTCTTACTACTCCGCTTTTGTATGGAACAGTGTGATGATAAGTAATTTTAGATCCTTCCCAAACCCTTACG